TAGTCATGAAGTGAAATGATTTCCAGGGTTCACTTTAATCTAATGAGGGGGCGAGTGAACGGGAGGATGAGAAGAGCCTGCTCACGAAGTGACAATGCTTTGAGCATGATGATAGGTGTATTGGCTTCATCATGCTAGCCTAATCTACTCTGTGTTTATTTTTTCCATTATAAATTTTAAGTCGGTATCTTAGAAATGAATCTTAAATGATAGGTCACAGGAATCATCTCCAACTGGACAGAATGGTCTTGCTTGTCCTAATGCCTTGTCCTACGCCTCTTCCTGGGAGCTCGATTTGGTTGATTGTAGGCTAGCTTTGTTCCTTGAGTTTGAGTTAATGCTAAAGGACAACCTCACTTCCCAATTCTGCATGAATATATAATGCTTACATATTGCACATGAATTGTACCATATTGTCTGGTTTCAGTGGCCTTCTGCTAGAGTTTGGAAAGCTAGACCTCCTGGCCCATGAGTTGTAGCGTTTGCTCATTTCTATGATGTTAAATTTCCCAATGGGACCAACTTCAAACCTCCATTACGTTGTCACTTAATGATATGGAAGGATCTGTGCACAATTGGTTCTCATGAAAAGATGTGCCTCTCTAGCTATAGCTACCTCTCCCAGTCACCTCTAGCGAAATTCCTAGGTGAAAATTTCTACCCATCTTTTCCTCCCAGAATGACTGAAACAACATCAACACAAAACCATTTATGAGTTTTATTGTGTCAGTTTTAGTGATTTGTTTATTAAAGTAATATTTTACAGTAAATGGGTCATCTCAAATGTTTCGATGAAACATAAACATATTCACATCCTATATGCTGTATTTCACAATGTCATAAAGTAATATACTACAGCAATTGCCTAAAAACAGTCTCCTCGTGTGTGTGTGTGTGTGTGTGTGTGTATGTATGTATGTGGTATGTGTGTGTGTAGGCCAAATGCCAGCCTTGAGTGCTGTTCCTCAGAAACCATCCACTTTATTTTCAGAGAGAGGGTCTCTCATTACGACCTGGAGTAATAAGGCTAGGTGGGTTGGCTAGCAAGTCTGAGGAATATACCTGTTTCTGCCTTCCCAGAGCTAGGATTACAGCTTATATCACTGGGCTTGGCTTTTTACATAAGCGTTGGGGGTCAAGTTCAGCTAGATCTTCATGTTTGCTAGGGAAATACATTACTGACGTGCTCTCTCTCCAAAGCAGGAAATACTCTCTCTGATTTACAAAACCCTATGCAGCAGGGTATAGTGTTGGAAGAGAATAGAACACAAATACTCTGTCACTATCTTCGAAATTAGGACTGTCATAAATAAAAGTATGTATTTAAGATAGTTCAAGTATTCATCAGAACTTAGATTTTAAAATAAGAGTTAGAATTTTATATATCTGTTACTTGTGAAAGAAGATGCAGAGGAACATTGTATATCTGAGGAGCTGGCAAGAATAACACTCTACAGCAGAGCTGTGATAGTCAGAAGTTGAACTTTTTAAAAGTATGGAAGCCCTAGTCATCTTGCATAAAGCCTGGTAGCCATGCAAGTCTCAAAAATTTCATGAGATTTACCCCCTTGCATTTTAGAAGTTAAGAGTATATCGTCATCTATTGTTTGCAGATATTGTCAGTGAAGTTTTGATTTTGCTGTCATAACTTTTTGTCATTTTATGGAATTATTTGAGGATTTAACTGGGGTTAATTTAAATTTTCAGTTAGCATAAAAAAGTATGGAGAGAAAGGAGGAGAATATTAAAAGAAAAAAAAGGGGCATCTTATGAAGACCTTTTCAATTGGGTCTGTTTTTCATAGAGACAGATATTCCTTAGAAAATGGCCCATTGAGGAGGAAAGAAGCACGGAGTAACTTCATCTCAGTTTACTAGTATAAACGCCCTTAGACATCAAGAATCAGAAAAGTCCTCTGCTATGTTACAGGAGGCAACTGGTCTACTGAAAGCTCTAATCATGCTTTACAAATTCTGGCATACGTTGGAATTACCTGGAGAGGCTTCCTAAAATGTAGTGTCCTGGGAACCGCTGTGATCAGACTCAGTGGTGGTCTGGTGTGACCCACATTGTTTATCATGTTAACTGGTTTCCTAATCAGTTCTGAAGGAGATGGTTTCTGTCAAACCAAAACATGTCTAAAGGCAGTAAAGCTAAGTTTCCATGGCACGGTCATGCCATGATAAGTTTGTCATTCCTTCATTATACAAAACTGTCTTCCTTACAAACATCAGCTTGGAACCTTCAGCTTCTGTTTCTCCAAAAGTTGATTTCTAGAACATCTGTCTCTCTGTCATTCAGTCAGATATTCATCTATCTGTTGATTCTCTTCTTTCTTTTCAAAAAAAGGTAAAAGTGCCCATGTCCATGTATGTGTGTATATGGGTACATACACATAAGGTAGTTGGGATGTAAAACACTATAATTCAGAGAGTCCTTGATCCTAACAGACCCAAACTCTGATTAATAAAACTCAGTAGTTACTACTGTATTGAAATCAGTCTTAATTAACCTTATAAAAATCAATAGTTCTTACAATTTACAACTTTCTCTATGAAATATACTCATATTGCTACACAATCGAGTCAGGGTCTCTCCTCACTCAGGAAGCATTCCACTGGAATTAGAGTTCTTTTCCTAAGTGTATATTCACTGTAGACTCTGACAAAAAGTAAGTCTTTTCATATGTGTATGGAAAGGTCACAAGTTGCTACAGGACCCTCAGATCTTAATGAAAAGGGAAGAACCTCCTTCTTGCTCTGTATACCGGGCAGTAAAGTAACTTCTCCATGATTAACTGAGCACAGGTTTCTCCAAGCAAATACTAAGCATGAACATCCTTACTCAGGAAGATACCTGTCCCTCTGGTGGTTTAAAATCTTAGTGCAGGAGTGACACTGCAGGTGATGATAACAGACAGACCTAGAGAAGAAGGGGGATGCTCACTGTGAGGATGCAGGCATCGATCTCTCTCTGTCCTCTTTACTGCCCTTTTCCTGTTTTGAACTCCAGGTATTCTGCATTTTATTTAGATGATCTATAAGAAACAACTTCATCGAATGCCCATACTAAAAAGAAAAGACCTAGATATATCTTCCTTGCTTTATGCATCTCTGTGACACTTGTTTTCTCTGCAGAGGTGATGCTGCACCAGTTCACTCGGAAGGACTGAGATCTACTTATCAGGTAAGTCTTTGACAAGCAGCTGTGCACACAGTACCTGTTTTCCTCCTTTACCACAGCGTTCCTTCAGCTTTTCAGCAGTTATGAGGCACTTTATAACTGGGGACCACTTTTTAAAAGGATTTATTTTTATTCTATTTTAACTATGTGTATGTGTGTGGGTCTGAGTGTGGATATGCTCACGTGAGTCATGGTGCCCATAGAAGCCACAGGCATTAGCTTTCCCAGAGCTGGAGTTACAGGTGATTGTGAACAATACAACCTGGGTGCCGAAAACTGAACTCAGGTTTTCTCTGGAAGAGCGGTAAGTGCTCTCAGCTGCTGAGTCATCTTTCCAGCTTCAAGAGATTCACTTAAAAAAAAAACCCTTATAATCCATCAGGGGGGCTATACTTTTTAAAAAGCTTTGCATGAGTATCATTTTGTTTTTGAACGATCTTTAAGCATCATTGTTGCCCCAACCAGCATTGGTGTTGCAGGTTGAATTTCTGTCTCCATGCACAGCATGAAAGCTTGGGCCCATCTGTGTCACACAGAGCCAAAGCTCTTTTGAAGTGATTTGTTTACAGTGTCATTTGATGGAGTGGAATGTTCTGTAACTCATTCGAACTGCTACAGAAGCTTGGCTAAAAGGTCAACTCTGCGCTTTGGAGTTTCCAAGTCTGGGCACCATCTGGGAGCTTGTTAAAGATAAGGTTTTCCACTGACTTTTTCCATACCAACTAGAACCAATTAGCAGAGGACTAATTTTTCAGAGATGCTTATACCGTTTTGTGTGTATGGCGGGGGGGGGGAGGGGAAGAACCAGAGGTGCACCGAAGTATGCGAAACCACTTCTCACCAAACCTGAGTAGATGTGCCATAGGGGATATTATTTCCTGGACCTGTATCTACAGATACACAGCCTTGAAAGAGACAGAGAAAACTCGCTTTTGAATACTTTGTTTAACCATTTGGAAATGAGTTTTTAAAGGGAATTGAATTTCACTAGGTACTCAGAATTTGATAGAAAAGTTATTAAGGCCAAAGAAGCTAAACTCACTTTTCATGACACCAGCTTCCAGCATCGTTTGGGTTGTTTGAATTTTACAGTGTTAGTCTAGGTTCAACGCTGACTTGTGCTTGCTTTCCTTCTTCCTCTTTAGAAAACGAGTCACGAACTTCCCAGTCCTCAAAAGCTTAACAGCAAAATTGTACGAGAGCACCAGCAGGCAAAAGCAGGTTCACTTCAAAGGCATCTCTGATCACTACTGGACCGCTTTACATTCTCTCCCAAGCATTAATTATGTCTTTTGATACCTGTCCTTGGATAAAGTCGAAATGTGGCAAACAGTAGATGCAGCATTGCCTTCTGTCCTTCCTGGAACTTCCCACGACACGTAGGGACTGTTCCTGGTACTCTTATGGGTGGAACAAGAGACTCAGCTCCTCTCTGTCACTCTTTCTCGTGTGTGCAGATGGCATACTTGAACACACAGCGTGTGTTTTACCCAGGTAAAAATCAAAATCCTTTCATTTAGTTGGAGCCCTTGAAGGAATCTGACTCAAAAGCTGGAGAGTAGCAGCTAAAACACAGGCTCCTTGCCACGAAAGCACATTCTAAGAAAAGCATGCTTTACGTGTTTCTGGCGGAGGAGAGGGAAAATGTAAATCTAGAATTATATGTTTTTGATTGTGTTGCAGTGGGTTAGAGACATTAAAGAAATGACTATTTCCCTCACTCGATTAAGCTGCGTTGAAAAATAAAACCGCCCTGAAGAAGAGGTAAAATGCAGTCATGCTACTTGTGAGACGAAGGGGGAAGGAGGTCTTCTGGCAGTCTTTCATCCCACTCAGAGCCGGGAAACTTAGGCTTCAGGCTCAATGCTCATCTCATCAAAGCTTGCTTCTTTGTCAAAACTCTTCTCATTGTAGAGGGCAGGGTGACCAGACTTCTTGTATGGGAAATACTTCACATTCAAGAGGTCGCCGAGTTTATCAACGACTTCCAAAACCTGCAAGGAGATTTCCTTCTATAAGTTATCTTTAAACTCCGAACTGGTCTACTGTACAGAGCCCAGGTTCATGGCAAGCTTCCCAAAGACCCATAGCAACGTTGTGCCAGCAAAGTTCCATGTCATTAGGTTGTGGTTTGTAAGTCCTAGAAGAACTTTAATGAACTAATCAATTTGTCTGTGTGGATACATGAATGTGTCTAGGTGTATAGGCATGTGTGTATACACAAATATGATGTATACGCAAATATGATGTATCCACAAATATGATGTATACGCATGTGTGTATACACAAATATGATGGTCACACGACAACCTTGACTGTCGTTCTTCAAGAGTCTTCCATGTGGTTTGTTGAGATAGGGGCTCTGGAGCTTGCTGACAAGTGAGTCTCGGGAATTCTCTTTCTCCCTTTGCCTCTCCAGTGTTAGCATTACAAGCACACATCACTACTCTAGGCTTTATAAAATGGGGGTTTTAGGAACTGAATGTTTCCAACTGACCTGATCTCCCTAAACATACTAGAGCAATATTGGATGATTATTCTTTTTATTTAATGTTTTAACCCAGCGTTCTGAATATTCTATTTTAGCAGTGTGAGGAGGAGAGGAACTTAGATGTCTGACTCTCCTAAACCTTTTATTTATTTTAAGACCTGCATATGACCTCATAGAAGAAAATAATAAGGTTTCAGAATACATTGGGAATTATGTCTTCATAACAGAGTAAACCAACAAAATAGAACACCTGGGGAGCTAATAGCTGCATCTTCAATCCTCTCAAAGCTTACTCCTAACACTTATTTTTAAAATGCCATTTCTACATACCATGCAATAATACAACTTAGACTTACAAAAAATCAAAACTACACATATTTCAATTTTATATTAAAGTTCTTGATGAAGTATGCTTATGGACACTGCTGGGAAAGGGGTTAGAAGGGAGGGAATTGTTACTGCATTGGGTTTACACTGGACGTGATTTTAAGAAAGTAGACACAAATTCTGCCTTAGGCACCAGCAGGAAGCCACTGGCTGACTAAGCACTTTTCTTTTTTATCTGGGGAGTAAAATCATTACGAAAAGCTACAGCTGTCACTAAGGAGTCAGATAAAGAAGATGCTACGCTAGCCCGTGTTTTTTCTGTTCCCTACCTGGTCTCTGAATGACGACCCCTCTTTCTCTCTTTTCTTTTGTAAGTTTTGCATATGTATGTGTGTTTGTGTGCATATGTACACACATTCAAGGCATACACACACGTGCCTGTGCATGGAGACTGGGCATAGACAGGGCCAATACTTGCTGTATTGTTTTCCACTTTAGTTTTTGAGGCAGTGTCTCTGACAACCTGAAATTCACAGGTTCCACAAGATCCAGGATTGTGCCAATCTCTGCTGCTCTGGTGCTGGGATTATAGGCACCCATGCTACTGTACCCAGTTTTTTATGTGAATTCACATATATGTCCTCACGCTTGCAGATGGCTAGCACTTTCCCAACATTACCACCTCCCCAACCCTCTGACTGCCTTTGTCTAATATTGTTTATATTCTATTAGTGTTCATGTTCAGTTGCTAACCTGGTCCCCTGACTAGTCAACAGGTTCCAGTTTCCCCTTATGTTATATTAAATAACTGCTCACATGCTTGCATTGAAATGGGTATGTTATGGGTATGATCTTATAAATAACTGTTGAGTTGATATATTAGCACTTCTAGCATGTCAGGGGTTTCAGAGCAATGAAGAAGTTGCAAAAAGGAGTCCAGGGTCTGATTGCTACAGACAGAGTTGGTTATACTTGAAGGCTTAAAGTTGTTTGGACCACAAGAAATAAAAAATCATCTCTGCTACCCATCCCATTCCTGCCACCTTTTGGAGCTAACTCATTGTTTATATCTTCCTTTTGGTTTCTGTAAGGTTTCCTCATCACTGCCTTCTTACTTTCTTGTGTAAACAGGCACAAGCTTTCCTCCACTGTCTTCTCTTTCTCCTTCTCATCCTTCTTTCTGTCTTCTCTTCTTTCTATCTTTCCCCTTTGTCTTTCTTCCTTTCCTCTCCTTCCCCTGTCTGTCTTCTGCCCGTCTCTTTCTGTCTCTCTTCTCCTCTGTCTTTGTCTTAGCCTATCTCTCTTGGCTTTCTCCTTTGTCTCTTTGTCTCTCTGTTTCTCCCTCCTCCCATTCTGTCACTACGCTCTTCCCTCATCTCTTTGTCTTTCTCCTCTTCTACCCGCTCCATCTCTCTAGAGTGTGATTCATCCTTAAATGATACTCTTCATCTTCTTATTCATTGTGTTCTCATTTCTGTTCCTCGCATTCCCATAAAACCTCCCACTCTAAGGAACATTAAGCCCCATGAATTAATTCAATAGTTTCTTCTCTTCTCTTACCCTATTTGAACTTTCTTATATTTACATAACGTTTCTGTCCTTTTTCTGGAAACTGGTGTTTAGTGTACTTAACAGTATAGTATTTTCCGTCCTTCCTGGCAGTTTTAGCTCTGCCTAAATTCCTACCTATTTCCCACCTTCAATTCCATCTCAGAATGTATACGTACCATTGGGGTTTGGCCTGACCACTCTTACTTCTTCCTTAACAATTAGGCTTTCTGTCTTTGACTTTATCAACTCCTCAGTTCCAAAACCTACAGTAGTCCTAGGCTTGCAATATTTTCTGAGTTCTCCAATCAATTTCCACCTTCATCAGTGGCACATACTCTTAAGGCCTGGTGCATTCAGTACTTTGCCTTATTTCTCCATTCTCATTGAAAGTGATCTGATCCTTCCAGTCTGCCTTTTCTCATCCACTGCTTCACTTTCATCCTTCTGTTCAGTAAGACTAGAGATCTAGAGAATTACCTTTGGCCTTCTCTGCTCAGGAATCCCCTCCATCGAATTACTCATCAGATATTGGCAACTCATGCATTCCCTGTTTGTGTTCATAGATTCATTTCAGTGGTTGTTTTTACCACCATTGGAACTCTCGTCAACTTTGATTTTGTTTCAAATTACTTCATTTCATTTTTTTTCTCCAGGTTCTTTCCTTCCTAACCCACTTGTCACACTTATTTTACTGTGACTGATCATGTTGCTTTAGTGGTCAGAACGACTAAATAATGCTCTGTAATTGTTCTTTAAGAAGGTCCAAATGAAAAGCCACTTTCTTTGTGACTATTCACCACTGTAATAATTCACCCACACCTTTATGCTCCCACAGGTTTCCTTATTTTCTTTTCATGGTTAATTTATTCTGCCTGGAATTATTAGTTTGCTCTTAATTTAGTTTTTCAATATTATCTAGTCTTTTTGCCCCAGGTTTTGTTGTATATGATACACACACAGCACTGTTTATAAAAATTCATTTATATCAGTCTTTTCTATAAAACCAAAATTCTGACTTTAATCAAATCATCAGTAAATGCAGTAAATGGATTTCTTTCTTTCTTTCCTTCTTTTTAAATTGACAAAGTAAGAGCTTAAAATTTTTACACTCAGGTTCATATTTGACACATAGAGAAGGTTTCCTCCCCAATTTTCCTTTTTTTTCTATTTTTTTATTGATTTTATTTCTCTGCTTCTCTCCCTTTCTCTCCCCTCCCCTTGAACCCTCTCCTGTGGTCCCAATGCTCCCAATTTACTCAGGAGACCTTGTCCTTTTCTACTTCCCATGTAGATTGCATCATGTATGTCTCTCTTAGGGTTCTCTTCATTGTCTAGGTTCTCTGGGATTGTGATTTTTTTTTACTATCTATTGGTTATAGATATTGATATAGATAGATATAGATATCAATATATAGATATTGATATAGATATAGATATTGATGGACATTGTTGACATATCATAGTCATTTGTTCTGTAAAACTTTACGGGGAGTTTCCTTCATCATTAGTTTTCTTCTTCTAAGCCACCCTAGAGAAGTTATTGATGGCTCAATAAAAGTACTTGCTCAGAATCCAGGGTATCAGAAGTAGTAATTCTGTCGGTACATGGATACTCACTTTATCTAACATCTCCCGAGTATGTGCTGATGAAAGGCAGAACCGTGCCCGACCTTCGGCCAGGGCAGTGGCTGGAAAACCAACAACCACCACCCCGATTTTTTTCTTAAGCAAATGTCTTCCAAAAGCACTTAAGGAAAGGAAAAAAAAAAGGTTAACAGAGAGAAGTTAGAATCATCCTGCTGAAAAAAAAAAGAATATGGTTAGCTGACATGTTCTTTTTAAAATGATATTAAGGAAAGGATGGTTCAACTTGCTCCCACACAATGGACCAAGAAATGGAAGATAATTTGCTGTCCCTCATAGCTGAGTGTGTGCTGTTATGGAAGCTGACACACTGACAAGACAGTTGTCAGTCTGGAGCCTTTGATATCCAGCAGAAAATGCTGATGACTGATGCCGGTGAAAGAAGGCTGCACTGGTAGGAACGCCTTGAACTGCAGAGTTGTTGGACTAGAAATCAAACAGCTGGTACGATACAATGACATGAGAAACAATGCTCATTAAATGGAAACATGTATGTTTGAAAAAAATGAACTGCTTAACTGTGGATTTTTGAAGATGGGATACTTAGTGCCAATAATTTGAAGAGCGTGGTGTGAGGGCTTGTAGAAGCCAAGTGAGTGATGGCAAAGGAGGGTCTTCTCATTTGTTTTAAAAATTTTTAGTTATGAGTGAATACACCCAGGCGTGCACAAGTGGAATAACCTTTTGCGTGGCCTTGAGGGAAACCAGATGATAGGCAAGCAGGGAGGTAAGAGACCCCCATGGGCAGTTGCAGCGTATAGGATGTCCATCATAGGACTGACTACAAAGCTCTCTAAGGCAGGGGAACCTTTATAAGTTCTTCCTTCCATTTATCCTTCTGCTTTTTCTTTATTCCAAAGTTAATCTCAGTAATTATCCCAGAATATTAAACTCAAAGTCTAGAAATCCCCTGTTCTAAGAGCCCAGATCAGGTTCAAATGGCAAATATCTCCTAGTGAGTTCTTTTTCTCTTTGGGCTCTGTTGCTCTCGGCAGGAAATCACAATTGCGGAGTAGTGAATCTACCCACAGAAAAGTCAGGTCCTCTTGTCTGTTCCTAGCATTAAGAACTTGCTGGTCTATTATGTTAGGCTGGAAACTGACAGCAGCATAGAAACCTTCTAGCCATAATTCAGGAGAAAATGACTGAAGCAGACCGTCTACTCATTCATCCATCTTGCTATTTAGCTGTCTGCCTTTTGGTTGCCTCGTGCAGGATGAATTCTGTCAAATAAAGCCGTGGAGAACTGCAAAACCTACTGAACACACAACCCTTCTGGCCCCCTGGCTTGGGCAAGGCGAGGTTTTGTCCTTTGATTTCTACTGAGAAGGTTACAAGGCGGCAAAACTTTCTAGCTGAGAAAGTTTGAAAACAGGGGCTGTTCTTTCTGCCTTCTTGATCACCCTATGGAAGGCTGCCCACGGCACTGCACAGGATGAGAGCCGAGAATTGTCTGAGAAACAAGTCAAGTGCTTTTATTGCTAGACTACAAACCACCTGACACATGATCTCAGGCCAGTTTTCAGAGTTCCCCGAAGACCATTTCACTGTCGGTATGTCTCCCTTTGTACCAAAGGAAGTGAGTTTTGCCAAAGAATGTGGAACAAAATATACGACTGTTAGTTCGTTAGGATAATCTGGGACCTCCCTGGAACATATCTGAATTTAAAAATTAGACTACTGCAGTGAATATAGATAACTGTATTTTATATAATTGTATTTTATATAATGAGCCTCTGGGCATGTAACCCCCAAAGCATATTGAGCTGCTAAAGACTAAAAGCAAGCATCTGAACCAGCAATAAACACGATGATGATAAGCATTAGCATTGCGCTGGAGGCAGCACTATGTCTTGTGTACCAAAGTCTCCAAATGCAAGATAAGGACACATCATGCTCATGTAGGGGAAGTATAAACCTGAACCACAGGATAATGTAACATTTTATTTATATTTACGCTTTAAGTTTTATACCTATTTACTTATTTTTTTATGTGCGTGTGAGCAGGCATGTGTGTCTTGGCACACGTGTGGAGGTCAGAGAACATCTTTTTAGAGTTAATTTTCTTCTTCCAGTGTGTGGATTCCGGGGATTGAATTCAGATTGTAGACTTGTGGAGTTATCTTGCCTGCCTTATTTACACATTTTACGGATGACATTACATTGTACTGGAGCACTAGGATGATTGTACTGTTGTAATACATTTAAACCTATACCTAATTTGAGATTACTTTTAAAAATCTCACATAGGTAGATATAAGAAGAAATCTTAATTTATAAGACTATCAAAGATCTAGATTATTAAAAATTTTATTTTGCGTGTGTATGTGTGCGTGTAAGTAGGTACTTGTGTGTAGAATGTAAAGGCAGAGGTGAATGTTGGCTGCCTTCCCCTTATTTTATTGTGATATTTGACAATTTCATAGTAAATACTATATACTATTTCCACCCTGCACTCCCCACTCCAACTTCTCTTAAGTCCTGCCCCCTCCCTCTCGACTTCATTACCTCTTCTTTGTAATTATTACTTTGAAGGAGTCTCTCACTGGATGTGGAGGCTCCGCAATTTGGCTGGGCTGACTGGCCAAGGAGCCCCAAGTACCTGCCTGCCAGTGTCCCCAGAGCTACCATTACAGATGGGCACCTCATGCTTTTACATGAGTGCTGGGGGTCTAAATCTTAGAGGTACTTTGCTAACTCTCTGTGTTTCCTCAGCCCCTAACATCAACATTTTTAAATATGAAAATGAAAACAAGTGCCTTCACCCTGGCTGATACCACTTCCTTCATGTTTCAAAAGCTTCTTTATACATAACCTTTCAATGGAAGAGCATCATAGGCACTTTTCTGTCCTAATGTCCTGCACATTTTGAATCGTCAAAGACAACATTCAAGACTGTTAAGCCCACACTCTCTGTCGCTTTAATGAGGGGTAGACTAAAGCTTGGAAGATTGCTGCAGGTTTCAGAGCCTCGGTTCATGGGCAGAAGAAAATGACATTTAAATTCTAGTTTGCTGATTACAACATGGGTGAACCTAAGAAGGTAATCTGACCTTTGTTAGTCTCATAACCCCATTTATAAACTGGGGGCAAGCATCTTGTCCGCCATGAGTATAAAAAAAAAGCCTTATTTAGAATATAACCAGCATTAGCAATGCTAGCTTCTTCTGAAGAACAACCTTAAGATGTAGGGAACCAGGATCTAGACCTCATGATTGTGTAACTAATGCAGAGTAGCAGGTTATTCAGTACTATTTTAGGAGTTCTGCTTTCGTTAACTACAGTGCTTACGTTGGAGAGCCAGGCAACCACACCAACTTCATTTTATGTTCAGTTGAAACTACTACTACTAGTTAGTACATCAAAAGAGCACAGTGATAATAATGGCTAGGAATAACAGAACGTTTACACCTTCTCAAGAGCTACGTTAAACTCATGCTTTTGAGGTCTCCGAGACCTCAAGCTGGAAGACAATGGTGAGCTCATACCCCCACTTAGTGGCTGAAGGATACTGATCCCCAACTTCTGCTCAGTGTGCTTTCCTGGAGCACCCTTTCAAATGCGTGAAGCTATGCTGGGTCAGGTGCAACCTACATGTGTCCCAGAAGCAGCAGCCAGCGTTGTTGTTATCAATGACACCTGGGTAGACTTTGGGACACGTGAAGCATTTACAGCAAATCTGGGAAAAGACAGCATGGTGGCTCAAACTTTGATACAGCTATAAATGAGGTGAATGGCAGGTTGGGGGAGGGGACCACAGGACTCTGGTATATTCTACATAAGTTCTATCCTGTTGCTGTACTGGTTTGGTTTTTGTCCAATGTGTTGGAAACTGAGATTTAGTTTAATCGCTGGCCCCCAGCACATGCCAACAGGGTTTTTTTTTTTTGGAGAAATCTGTCTAGATTGGACTGAGCAGAACATATGATCGAGAGCTCAGAGCAAAGGAGAAAACAAACATGGATGCTTGTTTACAAGAGAAGGGGAAAAGAGAAGACATTTTTTCCCCTCCAAACTCAGTTTGTGGGGACTGGAGAGATGACTCGGTTGGCAAAAGCCATTGCTGCTCCTGCAGAAGACCCTTGTTTACTTTTCATACACACAAGGCCTTTTCAACCATCTCTACCTGGAGAGCCAGAGGATCTAAAGTACTCCTCTTGTCTCCATGGGCACAACCATTTCTCTAGACAAAACTTCATGCAAACAAAACACAAAATGGATAAATATTTAGAAATTAAAAAAGAGCTCTCTTAAGCACTATAAAAGCAATTAAAGCCATGCAAACAGCAAATCCTGTGTAATTCTTACAATGAAAAGCATAGTTCCAGACGCTGCAAATGCCTTTTCTTTTCTGTTTCTTTAGTGCTGGAGATTGGGCGCCAGCTTTTGTGCATGTACCAGGGAAGCTTTCTCACTGAATTAGATCTTCAGCCCTTTGTTCAGTTTATCTCAGGAAGTGGGCACTAGCTTATCTCATTTCGTACAAGATGAAACTAGTCTTCAGAGGGTTGCTTGTCCAAGGTGCTCCAAGTAAGAAGATGGGCCAACACTCTGATTCTGAACCTCTTACCACAATATTAAAAATAATGGTTACATGAAGTATGTTGTATTAGTAAATTTGAAATGTATTTGAATTTCGGGAATATTAGTACACTATTGGGTAACTATATATAACAATGACATATTGTATATTCTGAAATCTCAAAGAAGGTTTTTGGATATTTTCACTATGAAGAAATGATAAATGTTTGTGAAAATAGATGTTTCCCCTGATTTAGTCACTATATAAATAAATATAGATATATGTACATATTTATGCATGTAGATATGTATAACAATTAGATAATACCCTATTAATTGCATAATTTTTATATTTTATCTATCAGTGTAAAACAGATGTAATCTAAAACATGCTACTTTTTCTATGAGAGGACTCCTCATTGGATTAGTCACAATTCTAACTTGTGAGATTCTACTTCTGCTCACCCTCCCTTTTCCTCACACTTCTTCCTGTTCTCACTCCAGTGTCGTGTATTGTGAAGCTCACCAAGCTCATGCTGAGTGCCTTCTTTTGAGCTATGATAAAATATTAGGTAGACATGCTCTTAGTTTGAAATCTTACAGAGCACTCTATTTACCCAGTCGTTTTGAATAAGTGCATGTGTGCTTTTGTGCCCTCAAACATTAGAAGCTAGAGGGTTTCGACTGGTGGATCCTTAGAATCCCCATTGTCACTCCCCGCCTGCCATTACACTGAGCAGAATGGTGCTGTATTCCTTCTTCTTGGACAGGCAGTCCCCTGTTTTTTTGACCTACGTTTGTGAACAAAGGGCCAACTGATTCTAATGTCGCGGCCTACTACTAAAGAACTCACTCACGTGTGTGCTCCGATTGCTTGATGTTTTTCTGTGGAAGACGACACAAGGATATGTTTAGAAGAATCAGGTTGTTGAGAATTTATGATTCTCATCGGCTCTGCGTGAGTTCTCAATAGTCTAAGCTCCAACTACTTTTAACGCTATGTTTGGTACTATAAATTACTTACATCTTCAGATGCATGGTGGGTCAAACAGAAAGCTCTAATCCTGAGGTTATGTGTTGGAGGAATAGACTTGGTTCAGAAAAAGGCTCAAAAAACCACCTTTCTTACAGATGAGATAAATCATTTCCCTAAATTTCCAGAGCATGAAAATGAAAAAGAAGGGGTGAGTCTCAGCATCTGTCTTTTTTTTTTTCCTGGAAGTTACATGGAAAATGTCCTGAAGATGCTGGCAGGTGACTCCTGAGAAGCTGTGTGTCTGAGGTCAGAACTCAAGCACATAATCTAATTCATGCCCAGAAAGCCATCATGGTGTCAAATACACTCTCTCAGTCATGACACACTGGGCATTGGTATGATTCTGTGTTGGATACTCACGATACTTTAGCAGGCATGTACAGGAGCACAGGGATGATGGGAGAGTGGTCATCTCCGTAGATGATGAATCCCATCTCTATCAGCCTCTGTCGGAAGTATTTTATGTTTCTTGTAAGTTGCTGTATTCTCTGCAGACCTGGAAGGAGACAGGCATGACACCCTTTAATCCCCCAAAGGAGGAGGGAAGTAAAGGTCAGGTTGATACAAACATTTTCTCAGCCAGGAAGGGCAGGAAATAGGATGATCAGATATAAGTATTGTGTTATGCCTGGGAGACAAAATGGGAAAAGGGTGTGCTTAGAGATGCAAGCAAGTCGCAGGACCAGTGGAACAGGTACCTCTTGTGTATATAGTCTAAGCCAAGTGTTTAAATCACTAACTCAGGAGAAGGGAGTGTAATAAGAAAGGCATGCACACACACACACACACACACACACACACACACACATACACACAAAATTAGTTGTTGGTAACATCCTTTATCCCAATCAAACCAGCCATTAAATTTTTAGACTAAGTCTCTAATCAAAGGGAAAATCACTTAACCTCAATTTAAAGAAGTAGCATGCCATGGAACAAGGATGGAGCCAGCTGAGACCAGGGCAGCTTCACTTGTTAGCAGGAGAGAGGGAGAAAGGAACAGGGAATGTCTGCTTTTCTCAACCAGAAAGGAAGGACAACTTTTGTTTAAAACAGGTAAGGCAAAAGATATTGATGCTTCTGTTCAATTCAAAGATCATCCTCTGTCCAAGACATGTACCTCAGTCCCATGGTCACAGTCATAGGATGACAAAGGGAATTGAAGAGAAGACAAAGTTCTGAGGAAATCTGCTTACATCAGTCCTTCCTTGTAGAGGGTATTGGTGAACAAGCAAGCCAGAATTAGTGAGCGTTTGCTCAATGAGAATGAATAGGATTCAATATTCTAGGTGTCCTAAATGTAAACTCAGTGTGAGCATTTGGCAGAAGGTTGCTATCCAGCCAGAATTTGTGCCACCGTAGTTGTGGCTGTCTCTAGCTGGCTTCCATTCTGATTGGTCAGGTGCTCATTTAAATTCGACTGAGGTTGCGACCTAGAAGTTATCCAGCATTTTAAATATTACTTGTTGGTGTTTGTAACTCTCCAGAGAACAAAAGTGAACATTCCAAGGAACATGTTAGTTGCTGTTATCTTGGTCCTTGAGCTGTGGGCATCCCTGGTTTAGCGTTTTTCCTCCTGTAGATAATGATGTTTGAGTGAACCTGGTACATTTCATCTTTGCTGCAATGACTGGGACAGCTGGAACAATCCATCCTTCTGATTGTTGGTTCAATGATGGAATGGAATTTGCGTATATCTGTCTTAGTCTCGGATCCACTGAAGAAGTGAAAGGATGGGAAGCTAGATCTTTGTCAACACATTGAGAAAATCGGCCAAGAATGTTATTGACTCGGACAAAAGTCCAAGGCACAAGATAGTGAGGGTCTTAAATGAAACCCTTGCATTTAGCCATGGCTAGGCTAGGACATCATTTGAACTTTCTATTATGTGAACCAATAAGTGATCTTGTCTGCCACCTATGAGCAAATGGTTCCTGAGTGACAGGAGGTTACTACTTTGTTTAGGTGGATCAAAGGCTATAACAATCTCAATAAATAACATTAGTAGAGTGTTGGTGAGATTGTTCAGTGGATACAGGCACAAGTTTGATGGCCTTAGCTTCATCCCTGGATCTCACAGGGTGGCAGGAAAGAAATAATTTCTGAGCATTTTCCTCTTATCTACAAGGGGTTGGACAGATATCAGGGATTAGAATCCAAAGCCTGATAAAAGGAAGACCTTGGGAAGCTCCTTCATTTTGGCTGTGGGGCCTGAAGACATGTACACAAAAGTAAAGCGAACTGGCAGACTGTCTTCCTGAAGCCATTTGTTAATCTAGTCTTCTGCTATTTTGAATGATAGGATCAGTTATTTCTCAAACACATCAAATCATCTTTTACAAAGTTTCTTTGCTTATTGGTTCCAAAGGGACTTAACATTCATTGCCTGATTGTGTCAACTATACACACAGAGGAATGAAGATTTTGTGGAGTAGAACCAAGAAGTGGAATGTTAAATGATGTTTCACTTGCCCATGCATTTTTTCTCCCAAGACATGATTTTTTTTTTTTGTGTGTGTGTAACCACCCTGGCTGTGCTGGAACTCACTCTGTAGACCAGACTAGCTTCGAACTCACTGAGATCTACCTGCCTCTGCCTCCCGAGTTCTGTGATTAAAGGAGTGTATCACCACCCCCCGTCTCCATATTTCTTCTCTGTTATTTCTTCTTATCTAACTCCAGTTCTCTAGAAAGGTGCTTTACCTGTAGTCCCTGGTAAGCAGATTATGTTAGAGAAAGTATTTATTGCCATTTTAGTTCCCTAATCTTGGCCACAGAGAGTGGGTAAAGATTCCCTTGGCCTAAGGAAGTCCATTTGAATACTGGCTAGGGAATCAGGATGTAGTCTGTCACAGGAACTTGTACCAAGAGATGATAAATACTAATCAAGCCAACCAGATCTTCTTGCCAGTAGAGTTTAGATATAAGAAATTCAAAACGGACAGTTGATAGAACAAAATAAGAAAAAAGGGGGAGAAAAGTTGTTAGTAGCATCCATGAGCTAGAGTGAACCACTGGTTAAAAGAAACAAGGGCAGCTGTGATGAGTAGACATTGGTAGCAGTGAGAGGAGAAGATGCAAAAGCAGAAAAGGATTATGGTCAGTGGGAAGGTAGGTGTAAAACTAAGCAATGATATTAGATAGATATAGATGATATATATATATATATATATATATATATATATATATATATATATCTCCACAATTCTACTCAACACCATGAAGGAAAGCTTATGTGGTGTTACCACAGTTCACATGAGGGAGACTAGAGCAAGTGCAAGGTAGCCTGGCTCCAGTGATGATCAGGCTGGGATCTATAGTGTGAGTAAGATATTGGTAGAGAAACACCAGAGAAGTGCAGTCTATTAGAAAAAAAAAACATCACAATGGTGCAATCATGGGTAGCACTGCCGGGTGGTGGAGAACTAAGTGAGTTTTGATTGAGTGTGAGCCAGAGCACGGGAAGATTGCCTAATGGATGAGGAATGAGCGTACAGGGATTGAAGAATTCAACACTGAAGTTTGTGAGGAGAGTAAACCTGAAAGGAAGGAGGAGGAGGAGGAGAAGGATAAGGAGGAGGTGGTGGAAGAGGAGGAAGAGGAGGAGGAGAAAGAGAGAGAGAGAGAGTGCACATGCAGGAGATGCAAAAAATATTATTGTATTCCTGGGATGCTTCAACATGGCAATCACTGATAAGAGCTTTTACTTTGGGGTTCTTGGCGAACAAGGCATTGGCTTGAAAGAAACAGGGAGCTGCAAGAATGGTTTACAGTCCTGTATACATCTTTCTCCGCCACACTCACTCACCTTTCAAAAACCAAAGGAACAGCAATAAAACAATGCCTGCTCTCCAACTCTAGACTTGTCAGTTGTATGGGATCTGAAAGTATGCAGGACCATCTGTATAAATTATACTGTGTAGACACAGCCCCGTAAGTCATTTTTAAAAGAACTGTTTTATAACGTGTGGAAATGTCTCTTGCAAACCAGTCTGTGTACATGGAATAGCCTATTTGAAGTATAAGACTAGAAATTATGAAGGATGACATTTGCCTTAAAACTTTACCTATGTGTTGAAACGGTTAGGGAGATAAGAGCATCGAGTGGGGAGAATGGATCCAAGGACCGGAAGAGGGTGGTGGTAAGATGTGTTATGAAGGTGACCGAAAAGAAGGCATGGGTGCACAGTCCAGCCACCTAAATGTATTCCATATGGCCTGCCCACTTGTGTGCCCAGCTCTATGGTTGATTGTTAGCTGCGCGATGAAGAGATGACTTCATCAGGCTGGGTCTGATAATTCCTAAATGTTCCCCCCTCAGAGACCAGGAGGATTTCCTGGTCTGGAAGTACAAAAGTGATTTAAATTGCTTTTCCCAGTGGCATTATCTTTGCACTTACCTATAATGACTCAGCTAGCATTGGACAGCCCGGCTACTTAATTGGCCCCGTCTGTCTTCTCTTCCTTGATTAACTCGAGTAATTGGATCATAAGCTAGTGACACCACTTCACTACTCCTAGAACGTTTGAAAACTTAGTAAAACAGATCAGAATTTTGGTTCCGAGATTATGTGATTTGTAAGAACTGGTTGCTTCATCCCTAGCCTGTCTTTCTTATCTTTGAACCAGTTATTAGCACAGGGTGGCTGATAAGGCATCGTGGCACACTTTGTAGTCACCATCTTTTCTAATATAGGTCAACTATAAATGTCTTTGAGGTCTTTGGTGTTGGCCAAGATACAGCTCACAGCTCCTTTCAATTCCTCTATTCTTCACTCTTTAAAGTTGGAAACATTTGCATTCTCATGAAGGGCCCGGGGGCAAAGGGGAATTTGTACACATAAAATGCTGCTCATCTAGACAGGATGTGGGTGATTGTACTAATTATGGCGTGCTTTGAGATCTGTGCTCGAAGAGAGCTTGGTAAAAGCCGAAGAAATATTTGGCAGGGTCCTTGTGCGCGGGAATGGTTGCTGTTGAGACAGCACCCAGGCATTCCTGGAGACTGGGCACTGCAGCGGGATCCTGTGGGAGAGGTGTAGAGCCTTTGATTCCAGAGGTTTGTACCCTTCTGCCACACATTCCATAGACGACAGAGAAGGTCCGAGTCAGCTAACGAGATGAATGAGATGACTCTGACACAGGCTTCTAGAGAATTGATGGAATTGTTCGTTTTGCTAAACTCTGGACTGAGTGTGTTGTGAGGGGAAGGAATAGACTTTGGAGTGATATTTCGGAATACTACTAAACTGGGCCTGGATAACTTTTGTCTTTGAAAAGACCCTCATTGTTTCCTGCAAGATAAAGAAGAGCTCATTTCAGGAAGATAGCAAGAGCCCTGATCATCACTGCTACTGGCATCCAGAATATACTGAATGAGGATTAATTCTCATTTTCCATCATTTTCAGCAGCTTTAGCGTCACCTTGGCTGAAGAATCACATGCCCAGGCTGCACCCAAAACCCACTGAATCATGGATTCTGGGGATGGGACTGG